TAAACATATTTAAAAATTAAAAAAAAAAATAAAACTAGCAAAAATAGCTAATCATGGATGAATTAAATAATTAAAAAAAAAGTTAGTTATACCTAACTGTTAACAACAAACATTTTTCCTGAACAAGCACGTTTGTAACTAGTTGAAGACTAGTTCAGCAAAATTGCTTTTCTTAATTTCTTCACTTTTTCAGTAAAAATACCGTTTCTCGCTAAAATGTTCTTTATTATTTTATTGAAAATACAATTTATTACCCGACACCTGTGGATATAATATTCACTGTTTGTATGTATGTATATATGTATTTGTGTCTATACGCAGAAAATAAAATAAAAATATGTAAGAGAATGCAATGCCACACTCACTGACTGCAATTGTCCCAAACTATCGGCTCCACATTGGTAAAATTACTGGGAGCACTCCGCACGTTTTGCCGGAAAATTTCAACCGATTAACAGATTCAGCATAATAAGAGACAACAAAAAAAAATCCACGGCACCGTTGAGTTCGGATTTACAGAAAACTCTGTGGTGCAGTATATTGACAATGATATTCACTGGCCGAAAGTGTGGTGAGACGATCACTCTTGCTGCATAGCAAGAAGGCAAGATCCATGCCTGTTGTATAGTGTAACCTTTCAGTCGTCTCCTGGTGATAGAACTCATTACTTTTGCGCTCAAACCGTGAACAATCAAGTGCAAGTTGCTGATGTCCACGATCGCTGACAGACCTCCGATGACCACCGCATTTGTCTTATCAACAGACGATGAGTAGAGCGTGTAGTGGTATTAACCAAAAACAATAGCCTGAAATTAGGAAAGAAAAAAGGAATGTAGAAGTTTTCCATTTAGGAAAGCAGCAGAAAGTTGTTCAGCCAACTGGAAATAGAGCACCGTGCTTGGTAAGCAGAGCAGACTGAGTTTGGGTGCAATTGGCATGTCCTGAATAATCACAACTGAACCATTTTTCAAAATAATATTAAAAAATAAATTTAAAAAATAAAAGAATATGCAAAATATATAAAAAATTAATTAAATAATTTTAATAAAGAATTATAAATATCCAATTTTTCAAATCTAAAAATGTTGAATTAAAAGTATAACATTTATCATGTGTATTATGGGTTGAAATACTTACATATTGAATTGGCAGTACCCACAACAGTTTTGAACGAAATGCCAGCCGAAAAATTTTCTATATTCTCGTTTCACCGGCATTCAAAGCTGCACTAGCACCCGATGGGCGCCAAAAGCGCCGAATGCTTAAGATATTCAAGCGGCGGCTTTGGTTCTAGGCCTGATTTGGCAAACGTGCGAGTTTACTAGCAACTAGCACTTGCTTTTATGTGGAAGTCATTAAAAATCACTAATGACTTGGCTTAGCTAAGAGCCTCGCTAAAATTGATAAGAAGTCACATTTAAGTTTGCCGATAAAAAAGGCACTAATGAAGGTAAGCAAACTCACTCACGTTGTCATCAGCTCGCGCAGTGCTATTTTTATTTTTTATTATTGTTAAAACAACTTTTTTGTTATAAAGTAATTTAAATTTTAACACATAATGAAAAAAATACGTTATGTACTTTAATACATAATTAAATAAAACATTTAGGGCCGCTTTTTTGGGCCTGCTAATGTGGCGATCACGAAAATTCGCCAAATGTTTCTCTCAAAAATTATTTAAAAATAAAATTAAAAAAATTATGTGCAATTATTAATTATATTTTAACAACGAAACACCTTTAGAGCTGATTCTTAGGGAATAATCGCGCATTAACATTTTGAAGCATCGGTTTATTTTATTCATATCCATTTATTCCATTGCATCTCACATCACTTCATCTCATATGATCCCATTTCATACTTTTTCTTCTTATCCATTCTAATTTCATCATATCTCACTTCATCTCATCTCATCTCATCTCATCTCATCTCATCTCATCTCATTTCATCTCATCTCATCTCATCTCATCTCATCTGCCACTACCTCACCTCATCTAATCTCAACTGACCTGAGTTTTGCTCATCTAATCTGATGAAACCTCTATTAATATCATCTGATCTCTCCTGCCTTGGTTTGTTTGTTGAAAATCTCTTCCCGTTCATTTCGGTTCGTTTCATACTCACTCCGCTCCATGGTCTCCTCTTTGCGCCCTTTTGGTCTTTACATAAATAATTTTGACAATGCATTAAGCTTGGCGACCATCGAGGTATACCACAGACTAAAATCGCTTCCACAACAAAAAAAAAAAACGAAAAACAAGTAACGGCAGCAATCAACTGATTTCATGCATATGTAAGCCAACAGGTGAACCGCGCACTGAAGAGGTTATGTTAAAGGGATTTTAACAAAACGGTAAAAAAGAAACAAGAAATTAAAGTCGAGGGAGTAAAGTGGCAGATGAGAGAAAAAGAGAGAGATAAAACCAAAGGACAAAACCCATTTGGGCATTTATTTATTTTCTACTTAATTCATTTCCGTATTTGAGCGTGGATTTTATGTAAATTTAATTTCATCGTATTTTAACTGATTTTAGCGGCGAAAGGTTGTTTGTTCCACAAACATTCATAATATATGTACTCATGTACACGATTATGTGCAAGTGTAGCCAACCGAATGTTCCCCAAGCACGTATAGCTCGAAAGTAATAAGTTCACGTATCACGCCAGCAAAAACAGCACAGCAACTTGTCAGAACGGATAAGGGAAGAACAAAAAGTGTCAGTATCAGCGTCGTCCTAATGAAAAGTCCTTCAGTTTCACATTCAAGAAGCAAACGTGAACATTGCAAATTTACACTCCACACACTGTTACATAAACAAATTAACACGAATGTGAAAGCAAACGGAAATAAAGTAATAGATATGTAGATATGCGAGTATATGTGTAAGCAAACAAGTTGAAACGAACACTCATTTACACAAAATAAACACCCAAGTTCAAGTTACTTTCAGTCCCATTGAAATCGAATGCGGTTGAGAGAAGAAGAAGGAGGTTAGAAGAAGAAAATGCTAAAGAACTTCATAACTCGCTTAATATGTGGACATAATATCCTTCAGTAATATCACATTCTATTAAAAAAATATTATAAATAAAAGATTTATAAATAATAAGAAGAACATTTGATAATTAGTTTCAGAACAAAACCACGGCATTGGTCGCAGATAGAAGTTAATTTTTTTTTCCTCTTAGAGTTATATAGATATGTGTACATATATGTATAACAAGAAATCACAACAAAACTAACCGTTTGGCTGTATAATTTTCATTTGGAAGATAATTTTCACATTTGAATATGTAAATGCAAATAACTCAGCTAACTGGCATATGATTACAATCAGCAACGCAGGCCAATAGTTGCTGGCATGAAAAGAAAATAAAATAATATTAAAAAATGAAATAAATAAAGAAAAAATTGAAATTGAATGAAGTAAACCAAAATAAAATAAAATAAAATAAAATAAAATAAAATAAAATAAAATAAAATAAAATAAAATAAAATAAAATAAAATAAAATAAAATAAAATAAAAAAAAAATAAAATACAATAAAATACAATAAATAAACAAGGAAAAAAACGTGAGATATAATAAAATAAAACAAAAAACAAATAAAATGAGCCTGAATTTTCCGATTGTTGTGGCGAAGATACCTTTTTGCTGACCCTGGTGTTGAAGTCGCCAAACACAATTTCGACTTTGTGGCGGAGGTAGCGATCATAAGTATGTTCGAGGCGCTCATAAAAGCCATCCTTGGTGACATCGTCCTTCTCTTCCGTCGGTCCGTGAGCGCAAATCAAAGATATGTTAAAGAATTTCGCTTTGATGCGGATTGTGGCGATACGTTCATCCACCGTATTGAATGTCACTACTCGGCGACGGAGTCTCTCCACCACCACGAATTCGACACCAAATTTGCGCTCTTTTAAATGACCGCTGTAGTAAATGTCACAAGAATGTACACGTTTTCGTTATTGTCCCGTCCATCGTATTTGTTGAACGGCGGTAATGTCAGCCTTTAATTTTATGAGGACGTCAAGCAGCTGTGCAGCTGCCAATTAAGTGGCCAGATATTCCAGGTGCATGCCCTCAAATTGTAATCCTTAAAATATTTTCTTGGGTCGCCATCAAAAGAGGGGTCTCTCACCCGTGGCATAATGTCATTTTTCAATGGAATTTATTTTTCATGGTGTGGGTGCCAAACTCTACGCACAACCGCATGGAATTCGCCTTCCCACTTTAATTCGCCCCGAAATGAATGTTTTTGTTGAAACATAAATATCAAACTTGAATTTAGTAGTATTAAAAATCCTTTGAGTTTACCCTCACTTCGCGAATGTTACTGGCACGCCATATGCTGCCAGCTCTCCTACAGTTACGAAAGCATTTCACCACGTTTGACGCACTTGGCACTTGCCTTGACTCTGCGCTGATATTATTTTCACATTACTATTTTATATTGGGCAACTTTGTGTGGTAGTAGTTGGGTGTAGCATTTGGTATTAGAAATTTAGCTTGAAGAAATAAAAAAAATATATCACCCCGCTTTCTTCAACCTTGCAGATTGCGTGAAGTTATTGCTCCACGAGGTTATGAATATGCTTTGGAGAGAAGAAATGAAATAAACAAAAATATATAATAAAATAAAATTAAATAAAAATATCAAATGAACTTAGGGACTAAAACGAAGTGTTGATTATAGATAAATTATGAATATCTCTTGTAAAAATAACTCTGTAACAAGTCCTAATTTGCCAGAAAACCGATCCGGCAACACTCCAAAGTACGCTCAGATTATCTTCCATGTAATTCCAAAGCCTGATTTTTGCTGATTGGTTAGATAAATAATGGATATAGGAGGAAGTTAGACCATTTTATATGCAAAAACACTGCAGATTGCATGTAAAATTATTTTTAATGTTTATCACCAACACCACTTATTGAGCTAGAACTTAACTAATATAAAAAATTATTAAAAATATAGAATATATGACACACATATCTATAAACTTTAAACGTTTTAGGCAAAAAAAGAGGTTATAATTTAACATTGCAATGTGAGAGTTCCATTCACTTTTTCAGCTCTTCACAACTACCACACACCGAATCATCGGGGTCTGTATAATCCACGGTTGCATTTTTTCCATAAGGCTTGTCCGAATTTACCTCCAGCACATATCTGCCTCTCAAATAATGCGGCACGGCAAAACCCATCGGATACTCATCACCATCACACCTGCCCTCCTGCAGACTATTCAAAGATTTACAACGTTTTGACAAGAAATTCCGTTCATTATTTGGATAAACAGACTCAGTGTAATATTTCCAGACGATTTCGTGAGAACATTGTGGATTATTGCAAGCATCTTGTACTGGAAATTTACCACCAACATAGAAGTCGGCATGTCCATATGCTTGGTATTGGCCAGAAACACCGGGATCTGTGTGGATGATATCGACGAAGTCTGCATCACTTAGTGAAATAGTAGTGAGTTCTTCGCCTTCGTTGAAACAAGGAAAAGCCGGATCTATACCGGTCACATAGGGCAATGCGACACCTGTAGAGTCGTAGTAGTAACGCGCGGCGGAACCCATTATTTGTGCGCCCAAACTATGACCAATTAAATGTAAGTCTGTGATATTTATGAACGACTCCAAGTGTTGTATGCCTTCTGCAAGGTATTGACCTATTTTATCGGTATTCTGTGCGGACCAAACGTAGAGTGTGTTGATATAATCTCCTACATCCAGTGCCTGGGAAGAGAGGTGGATAATTATTTAACTAAAAAAAAAATTTTAGCTCCTCACTAAATAATTAGTGTCTCCTCTACAATTGTATGCTTTAGAGAAAGCGTCATGCCTTTCGTTATTCACTGTTGTTGTCCAACCAGTTGAAAATATAACAGTTTTTTTCGTTGGATCAAAATCAGAGTCATCAGCTAGACTAGAAGGATCTTCGATAGAATACTCTCGCCTATCGCATGCAGTACGAAATTGGAAATTAATATCCTGCAGATTGGGTTCATATTTGTCAGGAGTTTGATCCTTGCTCTTGGCTATTACCGCTGAACCTTTATATTTGAAGTTGAAAAATTATATAAAATAAAATCTGTTCGACAGCGTAACACTTACAAATGGAGTTAGCCAAACCGTTAGCAATTTGTGCCGGCACCCCGGTTATAATATTCTTTATAACCTTAAAAACATAGTTTGGCCTCAGAGGACCTGGCGCACTCGCAATAATGCCTTCGACAATCTGTTCAATCGATTGCAGCAAATCTTGTGGTGTGGCTTCCAATGCACTGCTGGCGTTTGGCAATAAGAAAAGCGCAATGAAACAAATGAACTTCATTGCGTAGAAATTCCTCAAAAAATATTTTTCAACTATTGCCTACGCGTTCAAAAATACACAATTTATATGGAAAATGGTGTACGAATTTGCGGCGTTTTTCGTTTGAATACGCAAATTGTTAATTAGAAAGCTTATCTTAATTGGGTAATTAAAATTAATTAGGTTTTTGTTAAAACTTCCTAGCGGCTTGAAAGGCTTAAGTTCACTCTTATCTTCTACAATTACTTTTTTATGTTTTATGTGATTTTTATTTTTCAACAAAATTTTATTCTTTTCTATTTTTATTTATTTTGCCTGATTTTAATAGTTAATTTTATTTAACATTTATATTTTTCATCTTTTTGCATAATTTTTAATTTACTTTAACTTACTTAATTAATATACAGTTTTATTTAATTTAATTTATTTTATTTAATTTACTCTAATTCATACTTTTTTTATTTTTTTTAAATTCATTTTAAGTAAAATTCATTTTTTTTTATTTTATATTACTTATTGATTAGTGATTTCGTTTTATTTTATTTCATTATTTATTTTGATTCTAATATATATATTTTACTTCTTTTTTTATATTTAATTATTGAAAATTTAGTTCATTTAAAAATTTTTATTTTTATTTATTTTCTTTATTTATTTTATTATATTGTTAATTCTTTATTATTTTAATTTGTGTTAAAATATTTTATTGCAGTACTATTTTATATCAATATATAATATATATTTAATTTTATTTTATTTTGATTTAATTTATTTTAATTTAACTAAAATATATTTTATTATATTTTTTTAAATTAGTTATTTTATAATATTTTTTTTGTTATTAATTTTTTTTATATAATTTTTTTATTTAATTTTGTATCATATTTTATTTTATTTTTATTTGCTTTAATTCAATTTTTTACTTCATTTTTTGTTTTATTTTAATAATATTACTTGAATTTTTTATTATATTTTAAATTTTTATTTTTTATTTTACTCAATTTAATTTTAGTTTAATTTGCTTTTTTTATTTAAATATTATACTAGATATAATTTTTTTATTTTATTTTATTACAACATATTTTATTTCATTTTATCTAGTTTAGTTTATTTTTTATACAAAATTTTATTTTTTGTTTTATTTCATTTTATTTTACTTTATTTAATTGTTTTTCAATTTATTTACTTTTTTTATTTAATTAAATTTAATTTAGTTCAAATATATTTTAATATATTTTTTATATTATTTTGTCTTTTTACTTAATATTTTTTAATTTTCTTAATTTTTTATCTTATTTTATTTAATTTTATTTTACTATATTTTATTTTGTTTTATTTTAAATATAATACTTACATTTTTTTATTTTACATTATATTATTTGATTAATGTTAGCTTATTTTATTTTAAATTTAATTTAATTTGCTTTTTTTAACTAATTTTAGTTAAGTTTATTTAATATTCTTATTTAAAAGTTTTACTTTTTTTAAATTTTTTTATTTTATTTTATTATAATATATTTATTTTATTTTAGTTTAGTTCATTTTTTTATATTATATCTTATTTTTTATTTTATTTCATTTTATTTTACTTTATTTAATTGTTTTTAAATTTTTTTATTTACTTTTTTTTCATTGCATTTTGATTTTTCCATATAGTTCTATTATTTTTAATTTCTATTAAATAAGGTTTCATATTATTTTCTTTTGTTTCATTTTACTTTATTATGTTAGTTAAACTTACATTTTTTATTTTATTTTTTTATAAAATATAATGAAATATATTTTTTTAATATAATATTTTCTTTTATATCATTTAAGTTTGTTAAACATACCGTAGCCAAAAACTCCTTTAATGCTTTCATAAATTTTTGGGATATAAAAAAACAAATTAATTATCTTTCTTCGGGTTTGAGTGGAGTTTGAATATTTAGACTGACACAAGTAATCTGTTAATGGAGGCCTCGAAAGATTGCTGGTTAAGCTTGTTTAAGCAATCCAAAATTATTAACTCATTCGCTAAAGCAGGCACACATAAAAACAATGCAATCAGCAAAAAATTTTCAGTACATTTGACGCTCTACTTAAATTGAAGACGCAAGCACAGTCATAAAAACGCCACTTCATAAGCAATATGATCATAAAAGGACTACAAAATGGGTGAAGTACGAGCAAAATTAAACAACAAAAACTGAATGCAGAACAGAAAAAAGTACGAAAATCAGGCAACCAATATGTGGAAGAAGATATGGAAAGAAAAATGTTGAATAAAAGTCGGACATTTGCTGACGTGCTATGGCAGCTCAACAATAAAGGCTTTAAAAGAGTACGAGGTACTTGGTTTCATTTGTGCGTGAGTGGGTGCTCCCCTGACTGATTTATTGACTAACTCAAACTCTGACCGGGTGGAAGGATGAGGCGTCGACTCCCTTTTCTGGGTACCTAAACGATAGTTGTGACTGCTCACCTATATTTGACCAGCTAGTATGTCAAGCTGGCATACCAGGAATAGTTTTGATGACAGCACGTTGCTTTTCCTTTGACTTGTGGAATTTCTATTGCATTCCGAGCACGCACAATGAAGGAGGCAATGCGTTATAGTCATGCAAATAAATACAAATATACAAGACTGACTAACAGTGTAGGAAAAGTTTAAGAAAAATAAAGAGACATATATTTAAACATTTTTTATTTGTCTGTCATATTTTTTGCGATAATCAAAATAATAAAAAATTGCACACAAAAAAATAACATAAAGAAATAAAACTCATTAAAATAAAACTAAAAACTAAACAAAAAAAATAACAGTTAAATATTAAATAAATAAAATAAAATAAAAACAAAGGAAGCCAATTAATGTGTAATAATATTAAACAACACTAACTAAAGCAATAAAATTAAAAAAAATGGTCAAATAAGTAAAATGGAATAAAATTATATAAAAAAACATAATGAGCTAGGTAAACAAAACTAAAATCAAATATAAAAAATAAAATACATAAACTAAAATTAAATAACATTAAATTAAATATAACAAAATAAAATAAAATAATGTTTAAAAAATTGAAATTAACTATATAAAATGAAATATAATAAAATGAATTAATAAATAAATAAAGTGAAATAAAATAAAATAACATAAAATAAAATAAAATAAAGCGAAATAGTATTTAAAAAAATTTTAAATTAATTATATTAAATGAAATAAAATAAAATATAAAATGGCAAATAAAATAAAATAGAATAAATTAAAATAAAATAAAAAAAATTATATAAAAAAAATCTAATATAAATTAAAATAAAAAAATTAAATAAAGTAAATAAATAAAATGATATGAAATGAAATGAAAAATTGCAAAATAAAATAAAATATAAAAAAAGAAAGTAAAATAAAATAAATTAAAATAAAATAAAATAAAATAAAATAAAATAAAATAAAATAAAATAAAATAAAATAAAATAAAATAAAATAAAATAAAATAAAATAAAATAAAATAAAATAAAATAAAATAAAATAAAAATGAACAAAATAATTTTGTTGCACCGTGCAACCCACGCTTGATCTACAAGTGGAATGTACAGATACATATATATATAATAAAAATTGAGTAACATGAAAAGCGCTGCCTCAAACTATAGAGTTAAATATATTTTTGTATTCACACGCATTTGTGTTGCGATAATTTATGAAAGGGTAGCAGTAAATAAAATTTTTACATCTCATACACTCAAACATTCGTAATATTCTCATTGTTATCACAGCAATAAATTTCCAACAAATCACCAAAGAATATGACAGTTTTAGATTATCGCTACAAAGTAAAACAACAATAATACAACAATAACTACATACTCATACTGTACATATCCCAAAGCGGCTGAAGAAAATTTCACTGCCTCCCACTCTTTCGCTTTAAAGTAGGATACATATTGTGAATAAGTTTTGTTGTTGTTATTATTGCTTTTATGCTTGTTTCAATTGTATGCCACAGTTGGATATTGGCGACAACATTTCGCAATGCAATCAGGCATATTGTCACAATTTTTCAAAAGAAGAGAACTTTTTCATGTTTCAGTATATAAATACGGCGACATTCATATACACCTACACACAATTGTATAAATATTGACAAATGACCAGTTGCAGTTAGCTACCCTTTTTTCATGGCCACTACCATACCATCTCCAGCTTTGGGGTTATTAGTTCGCCAGTCGCTTAAATGATGTGAAACCGAAAGAGTTGAAATTATTTGCCTGTTGTACTCGGTCACTCGAAAGCAAACAGGCAAATCTTTATATATGTATAGGAGAATTTATGCCCAATGTGCAACATTTTCAACAGCTGTTAGCTCTTTGACATCACAACAACAAAGTCGGTAAGTCAATGAGGCGAAAGGCGCGCACAAAAATACTTAAGCGTGTTTCAGCTCTGCGTGAATATTATTATTTATTGTGATGGAAAAAATCTGAAATTTGTTTCTTATTTATTTATGGCTTAAGTTGGGGTACATTTGTTTTGGAAAATTGCTACTAAAAAAATGGAAATAAAATAAAAAAATATAATAAATTAAAATAAACTAAATTGAAATATTTTTAGTATAACAATTGGAAATGAGTTTAAACAGAATAAGATTATGAAGAAAAATAAAGCAAGAAATGTTAAATTAAACTTAACTAAAATAAAATTAATTAAATGAAGTAAATTGAAATTTAATACAATATAAAAAATAAATTAAATAAATCTAAGTAAAATAAATAAAACAAAATAAAATAAATTTAAATTGAACATGAAATGAAATAAACAAAATAAAACAGAATAAAATAATAAAATGAATTTTAATAAAACAAAAGAAAATTAAATAAGATAAAAATAAAAAAAAAACATTTATAATGGATTAAAATTTATTGCTTAAAATGAAGAACAATAAAACGAACTCAATATATTTACATTAACGATTTTTCAAGTCATTGTTATGTTACATCATTTAATTTTGCATTTTTTTAGTTTTTTGGGTTTTGATTCTATGGAAAAAAATATATGATCCAAGACAGTTTCAACTGAAACCTG